AAGACCGCGGCCCCCGCTACACCCTCCCCGGTGGGGTAGGAGAGCCGCGTCGCGGTAGCGCCCACCCACCTACGTTCCCATCTCTCCCCACCGCCGCTGGGCTGGGAGAACCGACGTTGCCCCCCGCCTCAGGCCGCCAAGCAGCCCCCTTTTTCCTCAGCAGGGTGAGGGGAACCTAGAGCCCGCCGACGTGGAGATGGGGGCAGGGACACTCCCCCCTCCCGCCGCCATCACCTCAGGGACGAAAACGAGCCCTTCTCCCGGCAGGGCGAGGGCCTCCCAACCCCTCAACGGGGCGGACGGCGGACGTGGTCCCCTGAAGAAGCAACAGGCGCCCCCATCCTCCTCCCAGCCGGGGAGTGCCGACCCCCTCGCCCCTCCCGCACTTCACCTCCGGAAGCGGGGCCGAAGCCTGGGCGAAGACCTCGCCTCACTCCGCCCCCTGCGCCATTTTATCGCCCCTCTCCCCGACCTCCCCCACCCGAGGCAGCCCGGGCAGCGCCAGGGGGCGGGCAAACAGGCAATGATTGGCAGGAACATGCCCCGCCTCCCAGAGGGTGGAGCCTCACGCAGGCGCCGCAACCCCGCCCTCCGCACCGCCTACCCCGCCTCCAGGCTCCACCTCTTCTCGCCTCATCCACCCGCTCGACTTTCTGCTGCTCCTGACTTCCGACCACCTCACGGCGACGGGTCCAGGCCGAGCAAGCCGAGCGACGAGCTCAGCTGATGCAACCTGACAGTACATTTCCCGGCACGAGGCGGCGGCGGCGGCGGCGGCCGAGACCGAGACCGAGACCGAGGAAAGGGCGCAGTGGGGGATTGAGCCCGGAAGACAAGGGCGACAGAGCCATGGGGGATGCTCTGAGCCCAGAAGAGAAGCTACACCTTATCACCCGGAACCTTCAGGTCAGGCCTTAGAGTTGGAAACGCGTTGTTGGGGACTGAGGACCCACCGTTCAGAGACCCTGAACCCCACTACGAGATCCTAAGTGTATGGGGACGGGGACTCCGCGCCAGAGCAGCTGTGAGAGAGCCTGCAGGCCTCACTGCGGGTCTGTCCGTCCGTCCGTCAGTCAGTCAGTCAGTTAGTTATCTGGGTACCACAGAAGCCACATGGGGCTCACCTCCTGTGCGCAGTTACCTGTGTTGAGCCAGAGTCTAGACTTTGAATACGGACTCCCACCCTATTATGTGCCAGGCGCGGTGCTAGGTAGTGGGGATACGTCAAGGCTCTGCCCACCCAGAGTTTGTCTGAAGGGAATCAGACGTTAAAAATGACTTGTAATCCAAACATTGATTACAATTGAAGAAGGTACTGAAATTACTATACACGAAACTTTGAAATGAGGGGAGACCACTGGGGTGTCAGGGAAGACGGAAGCAGTGAACTTTAAACCGCATCCTGAAAGCTGCAGGTCACCTCTTCACAGACGTTCCTGCTCTTCCCCCGCACAGCAGGAGTGGGAGTTAACCAGAGGAAGAGTGGGGGTAGGGGTGGGACATTTCAGGTAAAAAGACACAGCTCAAGACCCAGAGGAAAGCCTCACCGACGGGGCTCAGCGGTCGAGCATGGACCGATGAACCAGGAAGTCACAGTTCAATTCCCGGTCAGGGCTCGATTCCCAGGAGGGGGCGTGCAGGAGGCAGCCGATCCATGATTCTCCCTCATCACTGATGTTTCTAGCCGTTTCTCCCTCTCCCTTCCACTCTGAAATCAATAAAAATATATTTAATTAAAAAATAAAAAAGACCCAGAGGAGAGCAAAAACACTGTGGTTCAGATAGGAGGCTAACGTGGCTGGAGTAGAGTGAGCCAAGTGCAGATCACACGTAGTCTTTATATGTACTGCTCCTTCCCTGGCTCCTTCAGGCTCTGACCGTTGTCGCCTTTATCTGGAAGGCCTTTCCCGAAGCACTTGATTTACATAACAAATCGCCTGCCACCGCAATTGTATCACTTGCTCTGCCTTTTTTGTTGTTGCTTCCTCATAGGACTTATCACCAACTGACATACTATACATTTTACTTGTGTGTTTAGGAGAGGTGCAGGGACCCGGTCTTGGAGGGTCTTGTAAGCTGTTTAAAATCAGGGTTTTAGCCCCTGCTGGTTTGGTTCAATGGGTAGAGCGTGGGCCCGCTGACCAAAGGATTCCAGGCAAGGGCACACACCTTGGTTTCAGGCTTCTCCCCGGCCTGGGGCCTGGTCGGGGCTTGTGCAGGAGGCATCCATGTGTTTCTCTCACATCGATGTTTCTCTTTGTCTTTCCTTCTCTCTTCCACTCTCCCTAAAAATCAATGGAAAAATATCCTCGGATGAGGAGTAACAAGAAATAACTAGATAGACAGATAGATAGATAGAATGATAGATGAAAATAAAATTGGGATTTTATTCCAAGAGCAGTATTAGGTCACAGCCTTTTTTCCTCTATTTTTTTTTTTTTGAGATACAATTCACATACCATAAAATTCACCCTTTTAGAGTGTAAGATTCAGTGGGTTTATTGTAGTTACAAAGTTGTGCTATTATCACCATTATCTATTTCTAGAATACTTTCATCACCCTCAAAAAACCTATACCCCTTAGCAATCACTTCCCATTCCTCCCCGCCCTACAACCCCAGGGAAACACTAATTTGTATCTCTATGTATTTGCCGATTCTAGACATTTCACATAAATGGAATCATACAAAATATGGCCTTTGTATCTGACATCTTCCATTTAGCATAATGTTTTCAAGGTTCACCCATGTTGTACCTGTCAAAACCTCATTCCTTTTTCATGGCTGAATAATGTTCCACTACCTGGATTAAACCAGATTTTGTTTATCTATTCATCAGTTAATGGACATTTGAGTTATTTCCACTCATAACTTAATCTTAACCAGAGATTCCTGCATGCTTCCCCTTAGCCAGATCCTTTGTTTCCTAGCCTCTGTCCATAAAATTGTGCTGGTTGGGAACAAAGGATATACAAAGCCAATGGCATTGGCTCACTCGGGTTTTAAAGGGTAAGTGATATGACCTTTCCTTGGGTAGTAAGAACCCTCCGAGTGTCCAAATAAGTCAGGGGCTTGGAGGATACAGGATCAACCTCCAATCAGCTTGGAACACAGAATTTTAACAAGTCCAATTTTAATAGATAAATCCAACCAGCATAACCATTTTTGTCACCATGGTTTCCAACAGCCCTCCCAACAATCACTTGAACAAACACTAAAACCTCTTTTTATCTGTAGCATACCAGCCTATTAAGGTTTTGCCGATATATCTTAGGGCAAAAGGAAATTATTAAAGTATTTAAACAGGTAAATGAGTTCCTCAAATTTTGGGTTTTAAAGATGTCTCTGGCTGGCTTTTGGAGACTGGATTAGAGAGAGCAAGAGAGTAGATATGGGAGACCCGTTAGACTGCTATAGTAATAATCTTGGTGTAATCTAATGGTGGCCTAGACTAGGGTGGTGGAATAGAGATGGAGAGAAGTAAAAGGGTTTAAAAGCTGTGTCAGTGTAATTTATGCAACTTGATGAATAAATAGTACCATTTATTGAACTAGGGGTGAAACCATAAATGAAAAGGATGGTTGGGGAATAAGGTGGAAAGATGAGAGCATGAGCTTTTAATTTTGAACACGTTGAGTTTGAATTAACTGGGTTGATAAAAAGTACACAGTTCTGTACATGGGTGTGAGCAGGAGATTTGGTAGTTACTAGCTCATACGTAGTAATTGAAGCCACTGAAGGGGATCAAGGAGAATGTAAAGTGAGAAGAGGTAGGGCTGCAAGAATTGCTAATATTTCGTGATTAGTGGGGAGAAGAACAGATGCAAAAAAATCTGAGACACGGCAGCCAAAGTAGGAGGAAAACTAAAAGAATGAAATAGAAGAGGCCAAAAGAGGAGAGTGATTCAGGAAGGGAGTGAGAATTGAATTGAGCAACTTGGAGACCATCTATGATCTTAGCAAGAGCATTTCCAATGGTGTATTGCTGCCTGGAATTGGAACTCGAATGGAAGAAGAGAGAACTTTTTTAAGACGTTGGCTTTGAAAGGAAGGAGCATGAGTTAGAGCAGTGATTCCCAAAGTGGGCGCTACCGCCCCCTGGTGGGTGCTGCAGCGATCCAGGGGGGCGGTGATGGCCACAGGCGCATTTGTTTTAACTTTTTTTGCATTACCTTCCTCTTCTGAGTTCAATAAATAGTTTCATAATTTCAAACTTCAATGTTTCTAATTTACACCCTTCTTTACTATATCTTACAAAAAAGGTAGAAACATTAATACATACATCTTTCTGTTTAATTGCTATTAAAACTTAAAAAAAATTAATTTCCAGGGGGCACTGAGTAATATTTTTTCTGGAAAGGGGGCGGTAGGCCAAATAAGTTTGGGAACCACTGAGTTAGAGGTAATTGGATGGGAAGATGCGATTGGGGACATGGCCCATTCCCCTAATACCAGTGTCATTTCACTGGAGTGGTACTAGCAACAACAACTTAGATTGGCTCTCGCTCTCTACTGGGACCATGGCTGGACCTCCTGCCAGCTCTGAGCCTGGACCCCCAGTGACACATGCCTTTGTTTTCCACAGGGTAAAGGATGAGCAAGGTGGGGCACCGGCATTAAACCAGCTCTTCTCCTTCCACAACAGGAGGTTCTGGGGGAAGAGAAGCTGAAGGAGATACTGAAGGATCGGGAACTTAAAGTTTACTGGGGAACAGCGACCACAGGCAAGCCACATGTGGCTTACTTCGTGCCTATGTCTAAGATCGCAGACTTCTTGAAAGCAGGATGTGAGGTAAGCGCTAATAGTTAAGCCAAGCAGTGGCCCTGGGGGAATGGCCAAAAGAGGGACTTAACAAGGGGGGGGGGGGGGTCCTCAGGCAAATTCACATTTTGCTGGTTCCTTATCTCTCATGTCCAGGTAACAATTCTATTTGCGGACCTTCATGCATACCTGGATAACATGAAAGCCCCATGGGAACTTCTAGAACTCCGAACCAGCTACTACGAGAATGTGATCAAGGCAATGCTGGAGAGTATTGGTGTGCCCTTGGAGAAGCTCAGGTTCATCAAAGGCACTGATTACCAGCTCAGCAAGTAAGTGCTTGCTCATCCGCCTTCCTCATGGCTCTGGTGCTCCTTGCTAATTACAGGTCTGTGGAGTCTAGGCACTCTTAAATTTGGACTAGAAGCTGTTTGGCTCTACCTATTTACCATTTAAAAATGTATTCCTTTTGTCCTTTTAATTCATCCATTAAAAATGTACTGACAAGTAACTGCCTAAGTATATTATCTCCATTTGCTGGAGATATAAATGTAATCATAACAAAAGTCCTTGGCCTTCCAGAGCTCACAGC